CACTGACGACCTATCACCTGAACTGATATGCATTCAGGAATGCGTATGCATCAGTGAACAGTATGAAAGAAAAGATGGACAGTGCATTGAAAAGAACGATATTCCGACGCGAAACGAAGTGAGATTTTTGTTACCTTGAATGAGCATATGGCTTAAAACGACGTCAGTCAATTTTAGGTCATTGATGCCTGAGATGCCAATTTATAACCGTCTAATTCCATTTATCCATTTATCCATACTGTGCTTTTCTGAGTTTACTTCTAAAGTTCCACGCATCCACTTTAAATCTTTCACTACAGCCTTACTTCAATGGTTCTTCAGTGGCCCTATCATCTAGCGTAGTATCATCACTCATTTTAATAATTGTTTTCTAATTAATAATAAAAAGGGTGGCCTACAATTGCCTTCTCTCGCGCAATATGAATACTTTTGCCATTTTCATTCATCTTTGACAGCTGTCTTTGACGCTATCCTAATATAGATTAATATTGATTTTTGCTTCTTATAGTTTACGAACTGGGTGACACTACTAGGAAAACGTATATGCTCCCTGTATATCTCATTCAATACCTCTGAAGCTGTTGCAATGAAGGCAAAGACAGAGGCCTGGAAACAAGAAATCGTCATTTCGCTAGAATGATTTACATGATGAATGTTTTAAAATAAGAATCCAAATTATGCCTAATATTACTGCTGAAATACAGAAAATCCCCCTTTCCTCAAATAAATGCTGATTGGACACTTAAAAAAGATTCAAATTACAAATATTTAAAAAAATTACAAATGTTTGCGAATATCAGCACTATTCCAAAATTTTTCCGTTATCTTTCAGCTCCCTGTTGAAGTGCCAACACTAAGGGCTTGCAATGGAAGAACGTGTACACTCGGCGAAATAATCACTGATATTATGTACTCATTGACAGACCAGAAATGTGGACCAAATATGGTCTTTAAGAACTTAACTGGACCTTTAATTATGAAAGCTGGTATGTCATCATATAAGATTTGTATTCAACAGTGCACTTGCGACAGTAATGAATACATGAAAATGGGTGGACAGTGCATTAAAAAAAGTAGTGTTCCGATGCGAAACGAAACTGAGGTCTTTTTTATTACTGATTTCAGAGTTTCAGCATAATTATTTAGCACAACTAATTATTTAATAAATATTCAATAAATATTATAAAAATATTATTAAGAAAAATATGTCAATAGCCAAAGAATGCAAAAAGTACTAAACGAACAGAAAAGAGATTCGGCTTTGCCAATTTTTCAATTTTTCAGTTTGGTGGTGAAATATTTCCAAAACACTGCGCGGGAAGAGTGTGTACACTTGATGAAGAAATTTTCTATGTTCCATGTTCATTGACTGGTGAAATTTGTGGAAGCAATATGATATTTAATAATATCGGCAAATTACTCAAAAAGAATGGTACTGAAGTTTGCGTCCAAAAATGTACTTGTATGAGTGAAGAATATGTCAAAGCAAATGGTCAATGCATCCTTTCTACGAAAGGAAATGGAACTGCCTCACCAGCTTTAACCCAACGATCTGCCACCGAGCATCCACAACTTCCCGTTCAACGAACTATCCAAAAGGTGAAAATTTTACAATCGTTCCTTATTTCTCGTAAAAATACAAGATTTAGTAATTATTCCAGTGAGATATAATTTCTTATTTATCGCAAAAATTAAATTTGAAATGAATGGATGAAATTTAAGTATACTGTAAAGTTAAGAACATATAAACTTTTTTCATTACGTTCTTCTTTAAATATTACAATAATAATGCTTAACAGCCATTAAACAATAGTTTGAAAAAAATTTAGCATCCCACAAACTGCGTAGGACGATCCTGCGAGCGGATTCGCGACCCACTTTGCACTCTAACAAGTCGAAAATGTGGCGATGATATGGTCTACAGAGCGATTGAACGATTGACTTACATTGGTGACTATCGTGAAGTATGCATTCAACAATGCAAATGTGCCAATGAAGAATATATAGAAAAAGATGGACGATGCATTAAGCCAAAAAAGGAAAACCAAATGGAGGTAACATTCTGTTACTTAATGCTGAAATTCGCTAAACTTCCACCAATCATTCCATTATTAGAAAATTTAGGATTAGGCGGAATTAAATAAGTGCAGTAAAATCATCGTTGGGTGAAAAAAGTGCGAAACCTTGAATATTTTATATATCCAATTTTATGCCAAATGCCTAAGCAAAGGACGAAACTGTAGTTCGGATAACCACAAATAATGGATCCTTCCATGCGATGAAATTTCTATAGAATGGCTGGTATAGGATTCGTAATAAACATTCTCAGTGAAAATAGAGGATGTTAGACAACGATCTGTCCTTAACCATTAATGCGAAAAAAGTATTTTATTCTCGTGTTGAATGAATTCATATGACTGCTTTAAGTCTATAGTACCACTACTGAGAACTAAGGCTGAAAGAGTTGTCCTCCCACGGATCGGATATTTTCAAGACAAAAGGTAATTTTTCGAAAGCGAAGCATTTCACTTTTCAGGCTGCAAGAAAGGCTACAACGAGAGATCGGCACTGGTATGCGAAATACAGAAAAAATATGTCATCTTACCTCGTTCATCTTTCCTCTGATAAAAAAATTAAGGATTGATGCATTTTTCGATTGGAATATTAAATAAAATTAATTTGGCTGAGAAAGAAAAATATTGAATTTTTAAAGATATTTTTGAGGTAATTAGTGACGTTGAATATATATTTATGTATAAATTTAAAATTGAGAATAACGGTTTGAATGAATTTTTGTATTTTAGCGAGAAAATTTTATTGCGATTATTTGAATTGGCTGTAGCGAACTTTTACATTTGTATAGTTGAGATGCGAATAAATTTCATTATAAACTATGGATTTTGCATTCGACATTAAATAACGAAGAATTGGAATTTCCATTTCTGTGGAATAAAAAATAATGGAAATTAAAGGAATATGGAATATTCCCTCGCTCAAACTGCTATATGACTGAGAAACATGATAGTGGAAAATGTTAAGCTATCAGCGCTTGACCACTCATTTCTAAATTGAAGTCTAAGGAGTCTTAGTCAACCTTAAATTATAAAAGGATCGTATAAAGTAGGAAAAGCGAAATTTTATAAGAGAAACAATGAATTAATGAAAATATTCATAGGGCAATTAGGAATATGAAATTATTTAAGGTTTTCTTTTTCAAAAACTGCTTGAGTGAATTCTTTTTTTCCGATTCTTTTCCACTCAGATTTCTAAATTTTTTTACATTTTATATCATTTTTATATCATTTAGCATTTATGTAAATTTTACTTGGATTTCCATCTATCGAATCATTTCCTTTATTGAGAATAAATGGCTTTGCATATAATTATAAAAAAGAAACTGTAAATATGTGAGAGTTTTCAATTTTTCATTTAAAAAAAGACAGAATCGCAGAATTGTAGAATCGCCATTTTAAATGTATTTGAAAATTGGTAAAGGCGCCAGAAAGGTTTTTTTAAGGTTTTATTAATCAGCACAATGTTATGAGAGGACGAAAATTGGTGCAATTGGATTTATCACTGGATAATTAATGGAAGTCATGAATGCTAGCACAATGGTAAACGACAAAAGAAAAAGGCTTTGGCGATTCGAAAATTTTTAACATGAACACTGTGATATACCAATTTATTTATATAACTTTCCTCCGTCTCTTTGGAAATTATTGACTCCCTTATAGCGATTTCAACGCCCGCAGCATTTTCTGCAATGAATGGTTTCGCTCTTGTGATTCACAGCCTGGCATAGCCAAGTCAAGCTAAAAGAACACTTCATGAAGGATGATGAAGGATGGTTTCATATAAGTTCCATTATTTTTCTGTTTCACAGAAACGGAAATCTTTTATTTAATGTCGAATATAAAAAGTTTGTCATAGTTTATAAAGTTTATTCTCAAATTTAAAAATAAAACTTATGTGTAACAAAATTCAAATAATCGCATTTCAAATTCAAATAATTTTTTCACAAAAAGATGAAAATTCATTTAAATAATTATTATCGAATTTAAAATTATACATAAATATTTTTCATATTTTATTTGATTTTATTTGATATAACTACCAGAAATACATTCATCAATCTTCAAAATTTATTATCAAAGAAGGAACAAACTAAGGAGAAATACTTTTTCTGTATTGTACATACGAATATGGCTGTATCGTTTTGGCCTGAAAATAACTGAGTAACCTGAAGAAAAAATATTTCGCATTCGAAAAATGACTTTTCTCCACTTTGAAAGTATTCGATAGTGCGGGGGCGGGGAGAGGATTCTTTTTCAGTGCACAATGAGATAAATTGGTTCAACTGATTAAATAGAATGAGTTTGCCATAATAACTAAAAATTACTCTTCTCTTCTTCTAGTAAGAATTTTACGATAAAAGATTCAAATAGCTGATTTAATTTCACAAGAAGCATATTTTGCGCATAATCTTATTTGACTTTTTATTCCAACATTTTTCGTTATTAATTATTAAGCTGGTTTTGCTAGTTAGAGGGTTAAGGTGTCGGCAATAATTCCTAATACCAGTGTCTAATGCCGTGTATAGCTGGGCAACAAAATCAAAGAATTCAAAATCTCTTCTGATACTTATCAATGGAGTTCCCGATTGGTACCACTCATCCAGCACCACCATAGAGCTTAGCAAGATTCTCGAATAAGCACCAGCGAACATGGCCAATCATCACTCCATGATATTGACAATATTGATACTGCAGATGGTATTTCAACAAAGGTGGATGAACCATATAAGTTATACCCATTTGACAGTTCTTCAGAAATAAGTCAGAGATTGATCGCTTCCTAATATCATCTACTCTTATAGACCATGTTTATTACAGCCAAGCCAGATAGTCGATTCCATAAAGATCTCATCACACGGAATCCACTTTTAGATGTTGCCCGAACTGTAAATTCGTCTTCCGTTTGGCTATTTGGTATAATAGTTGACACCCAAAATAAATTAAGCATTTCTCTTTCTCCACCTATGGTTAATTGATAATATCGATATTTTATCAGCGTCCGCTAAATGAGACGAAAAGTCTTTTTTTAAACGACAGTCATGAACTCAAAATTTGGTTCAATTATCGGCACATTATTTAGCATTTATTGAATTTCATCATGAAAGCAGCGATTATATTATATTCCGCACTAAATTGCGTAAATGGTACAATTTCCACCATCCAATCCATTGTCTGATACCATCGGAAAGGAAAAAAGGTCCCGACAAATACCAGTTTTCGCATGCAGAAAGGATTTGTCACAGAGTATATTTTAAAAGAATATTTCGATTCACCAAATCACCAACAATTATTTTATTGCAGCCCTTCAATTCTTATCCTATTCCAAATCCCTAACTTTTTAACAATGATTCATGGAAATTTAGCAAACTTCAGTATTATTATTGTGCAATAAAGTGTGACCTGCGCATGATTTTTCTTCACAGATCTTTCTCGTATAATGCATCGTCCACCTTTTTCCGTATACTTTTTGCTGACACATTTGCATTGCTGAATGCACATTTCAGGAGTGTCATCGATACGTATCAATCGTTCAATAGTTTTATAGACCATATTATCACCACACTTCCGACCTGCTAGCTTACAAAATGGATCGCGAATCTGCTCGCAGGATCGTCCTACGCATTTTGCGCGAGTCTCAGGATGCTAAATTTGTCAAATTTATTGAATGACTGTTAAGTATTGCAATATTAAAAGAAAAATTCAATAAAAACCCCAGCTTTACAATACATTTGCAATTTCATACAATCGTTTACAATTTAATTTTTGCGTTGACCAAGAAAATACACCCCACAGGAATAAATACTAAATTTTCTTTTTTCAAGAAAAATAAGAAACGATTGCTTTTTTACCTGTTGGATAGTTGGTTTAATGGGAAATTGTGGATGTTCGGTGCCAGATCGTTTGGTTGCAGTTGGTGCTACTGATTCATTTCCTTTTGCAGATCGTTGGGTTGAAGTTGGTGTCGCAGTTTCATTTCCTTTCGTAGAAAGGATGCACTGACCATTGGCTTTGACATATTCCTCACTCACACAAGTACATTTTTGAAAGCAAACTACAGTACCATTCTTTTTAAGCAATTTACCGATATTATTAAATATCATATTGGTTCCACAAACTTCACCAGTCAATGAACACGGAACTTTGTATATTTCTTCATCAAGTGCACACACTCTTCCCGCGCAGTGTTTAGGCAATATTTCACCAGCAAACTGAAAAATTGACAAAACCGAACCCCTTTTTGGTTCGTTTAGTACTTTTTGTATTCTCTAACTATTGACCTATTTTGTTTAATTGTAATGGACTTCTAAAATTATCATTCAATAATAATTTTATAATAATTATTGAATAGTTAACTGTGCTAAATAATCGAAACTCTGATATCAGTAAGAAGGACCTCAGTTTCGTTTCGCATCGGAGCACTACTTTTTTTAATGCACTGTCCACCCATTTTCGTGTATTCATTACTGTCGCAAATGCACTGTTGAATACAAATCTTATATGATGATATGCCAACTTTCATGTATAATGGCCCAACTATGGTCTTAAAGGCCATATTTGGTCCACATTTCTGGTCTGTCAATGAGCACAGAATATCAGTGATTATTTCGTCAAGTGCACAGATTCTTCCACTGCAAGCCTTTGATGTTGGCACTTTAGGAAGGGACTGAAAATTAATGAAATTAATTTTAAAATAAAATTAATGAAAAAAATTAGTAATACTTTTTTCTGACTGAACCTTCCAAATAAATTTCGTCAACAAATTTTTATTTTTTCAAACGTTCAACAACGATTAATTTGGCAATATCACTAAATCTATTATTTTCGATTATGGGAACGAGGATTTCAATATATTTCAGCATTAATATTAGGCATTCAGCAAATTTGGATTCTTATCTTAAGGCACGCAGCTTCTTGTCTGCGGTTCTCTACCTTTAACTTCATTTATTTCGACATCCATATTTTAAAAAAAACTAATTTCCAGAAGGGACGAGCGGAGAACGCTGGAAGTGTATGTCGAAATACATACTTCTTGCAGGGTCACTAAGTTGCTAAATTATGACAAGCAAAAACATATATTGAGCAGTGCGACATACAGTGATGATTGACCGATGAAACATATATCACTACTATAAAATGAAGTCGAAAGCGTCATTTCATACCTCGTAAGAGAAGGTGAATGTAAGCCATTCTTTCGTTATTGTCCATAAAACGATTAGTAAAAAGGAGTGGAGACTAGGTGCTGGCATTACACTGAAGAAGAGTCATTGAAAAAGAGTTGAGGATCTTTCGAGGAATCCAATGGTTCTACTGGTATGATTAGATAAGAATTCCTTCAGAAGCTATAGCTATTGATATTGTCAAACGGTAAAAAAAGTTGTAAAGAAAGATTTATAATGAGTGAATGGAGCGTTAGAAGCATAAACTGAGTATGGTTGAATACGGTGGTAAATGGCTACAAATTATTATCTTTGGCATCAAAGAATTGTAATGGGCTGGAATCGGGTGTATTCAGCCAGATTAAGTAAGAACATCCAAGTTCTAATCGAAATCGACATGAGCATGAAATAGTTGCTAACAATGGGTGATAGAAATGCCATGGTTGGAAACAAGAGAAAGGTTGTTGGCTTGTACGGATTAGGATCGACTTATCAATTTGTACCGTTTGATTCTAAATTTCATACAACCACCTCTAAGATTCTAAACATAGTACAACCTCAACAGGCGAAGTTTATAGAGAAATTCCTCGAATGATAACTGGTTTGCATTTTACTAGTATATACTACCGAGAAATGCATGTAAAATGGGTAGTTTTCTTGCACACATGACTTTCTAACATAAAAACATGCAAAACTAAAATTGCTTTATTAATGGCTGTTGATGTACTGCACTTCTAATGAAAACCCAATATCGATGAAATTTTTGTTAAATTTTAGATGAAATTTTTCAAATCCATACGATCCGCGATACACCATTAAAGTTGAAATTTCTAAAACTCCTACTATTATGAGAATTGTAAAATTTTCACCTTTTGGGCAGTTATTTGAGCGGAAAATTCTTTGGTGACAAATCGTTGAGTTGAAGTTGTTGTCGTTGTTTCAATTTCTTTAAACAGATTTTCAATCGGAACCTAAAAATGGTTAAAAAATTATTTTTGTTATTTCACGCGTTTGATTTGATGTTTTTCACTGCGGAAATTGATATACCCCGCTTTATCAAAAACTTTTAATGTTTCCAGACAATAATAATTTTATAAGATTTGTTGATTTTAAAACTCATCAAGAAAATTGGCCCATATTTTAGTATATTGTGATAAAAAGTTCAACGTGACACAAATCGCACTTCGTTTCGCGTCAGAATATCGTTCTTTTCGATACACTGTCCATCTTTTCTTTCATACTGTTCACTGATGCATGTGCATTCCTGAATGCATATCAGTTCAGGTGATACGTCGTCAGTGTATTTCATTTTATCCACAGTTCTGTAGACCATGTTATGACCACATTTACGACCAGTCTGTACGCAAAGTGGGTCATAAATTCGTGCGCATGATTGCCCAAGGCACCATAAAAGGGCCTAAAGAAACGATGAAAATTAAAGTTACAGTAAAGCGTATGTAAGAATATGCAAGAGTGAGGAGGGTTATTGTCACAATTTTTTCGTAATTTTTTTAAAAAACTTAAACTTAACTGAAAGCTTTCGTTAATTAAACAATAAATCACAAAAATATATTAGTCTATCCTTTCTTCACAATAAATGTTATTATTGAAAAATGAATATTATTAAATAATAATATAATATTATAATATTATTAAAAAACGAAGCTTATAAAAAGAAATAAAAATTATACCAGAGCAATAGCGGGAATAATCATAGTTATAAAGGAGGGTAACTGAAGATAAGTTTAAATTTTAAATGAGAGTAACTGAGAATAACTGATGCGCTCTTCTAATTTTATACTGAATTTTTAATTAATTCCACCCAAAAATCGCTATTACATGGACAATTTTCAGTGAAAATTTCACAAAATATGCGCATACATGCTTGGAAATGAAAATTGACATCACAGAACACTGCAATTTTAATTTTCATGCAAACACGAAAATTCATTAATTTTAAAAATGATTTTAAATTCTAAAAAAATTGGATGGAATTGAAAACTGAAAAAATGAACTAAATTGAAAAATAAATTAAATTTTTTCATTTTTACATTTCGAATTTTTAATTTAAGTGCCAAATCTTATATATTTTTATCTTTGTAAAATACTCGCAATTTACCATTTTGCTATTGTATTATTCTATCGTATTCTATTGTATTGTGTTGTACTGCTTTCTATTGTACTGTTTAATTAGTAATATTAAAAATAAGTTTTAAGAATATAAAAAGAAAAAATAAGCCTTGAAAAGTCGGAGATTTATTTTATTATTTTTATATCTATTCGGATTAACTATTTTCTTCTTTCTAAATGCTAAATAAATCGAAGTGTAAGGTTGTACATACTTGGTTGCTACTTCTATATGAATGGATAAATAATTAATTAATGAATAAAAAATATTTATAAATATTTTCGTTAAGACATCTCTAAATTTTCTGTTGTGATAATCACATTTGATAACCTTTTATGTTATCAATTCTATTAGTGGTTGCAGAAATGAAAAATTTTTTATGCATAATTTTTAATTTCTCATAATTTCTCATGTAATAAAATCATTATTAAATGAGAAATTTGAATTAAATATGGTTGTGTCACAATTATAATGGTATAATGCTTGTTCAATGAAATGAACTATGATGAATGTCGATTTCTGAAGTAATTTTGAAAGTACTTTGGTTGATTTGCCGTTGTATTTTTATAAATCGGCAGTTATTTCAATAGAATATTTTAAAAATAAATCGTATTTTAACGTAAAAATTAATCGCTAATCTTCTCATTTGTAAAGCACTCATAAATTCCGAAGATTCTGGCGTTCTGCTCACTCATAGAACAAATTTGTCTTTCATAAAACTATATTATAGTGTCGACTCATTTATACTTCTATCGCCTAGTTGCTTTGTGGCGAAATTTAGCAAACCAGCCATAGTGAGTCTAATCGGGAGTGGCAGCGATTTTATAAAATGCTTTGCAGCGAATCTTTGAAAGAATTTCCTAGCCAACAGTTTTTCACATTTCCTATTCCTTTCTATATTAAAATGCGACAATGAAGTCCATTTAACTGTTTTCTGGAACAGCAATATTGCAGCAATTGCAGCAAATATTTTGAATTAAATTATATTCTTGTTGCACAATAGTTATTGAGCAATAATCATTGATCATAAACTTTCTATTGCATTATAATTTCGGATTATTTTTGAAAAAATTATGCTGAAAGTCGAAATCTATAATTTTCCACACTCATTACACCAATTTTTAGAACTGAATAATTCTCTTCCTATTCTCTTGATTTTTCGAAATTTCTATTTCGATATTTTCACAATTTTTTTATTCGGATTAGTTTAAAGTATTGCAAAATATTAAAGAGACAATTACCTTTAATCGATGAAAATCACTAGAATATTCGTGAAACAAAAAATTTTTACACGGAACGCCAAACATCAATTCTGATAAATTATAATTTCTGAAAAAGGAAAATTCGGAAAATTTAATTTACCACTATATTTCCGCAAACAGCGCTATTTTAGTAAAGTTTTACGATTATATTTTGCAAAGTATTTCTAAAAAATGTCAAAACGAAAGTAATTATTAAGTTTGAACAAAATTAGCAAAAACAATTTTAGTCAATAATAAAATTATAAAGATTATAAAAAAATTTATTTGCTAAAGACTACGAGTTCTGAAAATAGAACGATGGAAGCTGCGCTAATAATGGTAATGTAAATATGGCAAAAATGACTGAGAAAAGGATTTTTTCTTTAAAGAATGAATGAAAGAATGAATTTTTAACATATACCGACAAAATAGCGATATCGACAAAACGGCGAAACGGCCTTTTCGAAGATGGGCACAGCCTTGCATGAAATGAAATGAAACCTTAAGTATAGGAATTCCCTCGTCCTGAATGAAAATATTTTAAAAAAGCAAAAGCCATTATTAAGTTTCAAAAACAATTAGTTTTAGTCAGTCATAAAATAATGAAAATAATAATTATAATAATATTCATATTTATTCATAATAATCATTTTATGGTATTGTATTCCAACACAGATGACTGTCTCTCCAGAGATGCAAAATTTCCTTTATTGCCGTACAATAATGAGTACAATCGAACATTGCTTGGGCAACCTAAGGACGGAAGTGACAGAAAAAGAAGTGGGATTTGATTATTTGCATTGAATCCGATCGGAAATTTGGAAGCGCTTTACTCCCATCACCAGTCGAACAACCCAAACCAGCAGTGGTGCTGGCTATTCATTTAAAAAATAAATATGTATTATACAAAATTAATTTTCTTTCTAAGGCCACTCGTTAATGGCTTTGATTATGCCGAAATTACATAATCGTAGCTAAATATTCTGAAAAGTTCCTAAGCTTTAAAAAAAAGAACCAAAATCCGAATTTTACCAGTAGGATTGTTATGATATGGCTGAAAGCTATGCTACAAACGGAGATATATTTTGTAGATTTGACTCATATCGATTAAATTTCTTTCTACTAATCTATCAAATGCAACTGTGTTGCATATAATTTACTTATTAATAAATTTATAATTTTTATCATTCATTTTTCATTATTTTTTTATTATTCTATTATTTATTGAATTAGATTCAATCGTTATCAAATTCATGTTCGTTTTGTTTAAGCCGTAAACTTTTGCATATTTTCTAGTGAGATTTGGTATTTGGATTTGGTATTAATATTTGATATTTTAATAAATATTAATATTATTTTAATAAATTATTAATAAATCCTAACAAATTTAGTAACTTTTTTTGTTTAACTTGGAAATGTTAAAAAAAAAAATAAGTAAAATTTTTTTGCTATCAATAATTTTAAAATGGTTCTAAACGAAAGCGAAATAAATTTGGAATTTTACTGCTTTTACAACATTCGATATTTTAAAGGTATTTGATCGATTCGAAATAATTTTTTTTTGAAATATCAGCGAATTATAAGGATTTGTGTAATTATAAGGATTTGGTTTAAACGATATCAATTTGTGGACCGATTGTCTTAGCCAATTGTAAAATGAGAAAGGATTGTAAAATAAAAAAAACTTTATAAAAGACATCGTTAATTTCTGAAATTATTATTTATAGAGTGAAATATTGTTTAAGGTTTTCTTTTTCAAAACTTTCTTGAGTGAATTCTCTTTTTTCCACTCAGATTTCTAAATTTTTATACTTTAAATTACTTTAATAAGTGGTTTTTAACTTATTTTCTATTGGCACATTTATTTCCGGCAGATATGAAATTTATATTATTCTTTATAGAGAAATGCGAGTCATACTGAGCTGATCTCCACCTTGACAATTTTTCAGCTTTTTTATATTTGTTGCAAAAGAGTATTTGATTTAAAGAGATTTACGGTTCTTAAAATTTTAAAGTACTATAAATTTCAATGACGCTCTTTGGCTAAATTCACTGGTGTTCATTCGAGAATTGATCTTGCTGCCTTCTAAGCTCTATTATAGCTCCGTGCGAGCAGTATCAATCTGGAACTCGATTGGCAAATGTCAAAAGAAATTTTGAATTCTCAGGTGGTGAAGTTATATATGGAATTAGGCAATGGTAGAAGAAATTGTTGAAGATTTTTTCTTGACTCTCTAATTAGCCAGCTTAATCAGTAATAGTGAAAATTAGTGGAGTAAAAATTCGAATAAGACTGTACGCAAAACATGGTTCTTGTGAAATTATGAAATGAAATCTGAAGCAGTTGTTTGAACCTACTTTTATCACACAATTCTCTAAAAAGATGCCGTGCTATCAAATATTTTCGAAATTGAATTCATTCTTCGAATGCGAAATATTTCTGTTTTCAGGTTACTAGTAAAGTCAAAACAAAACGGCCACCATATTCGTATTTGCAATACAATAGAAGTATTCCTCCTCATTTTGTTACTTTTTTCTTTGATAATAATAATTATTGATACACTGTTTGCATTTTGTTATAATCAGGAAATAGGAATCATAAGCGTATTCAAGATTTATGATGCTGTGCTCTGGACTTATTTGTACACCTCTGGACTGCTGGCAAGCAATGCCCATTATATTGCTTCAAGAATTAATTAAATGCATTGAGTTTATCATAACTACTGAGACAATGCTGTTTTAATACTGAGAATACCGAATAAGTTTATGAAACAATTAGATTCATACAATCGCTTCATGATACATTTAACATGAAGAGTGGTTTCGACTTTTCATTCTAACAATTCTTACTATTAGTAATTAAGCTATCATTCGAACACCTTTATTTAAAAGGACAAGGAGTCTTCAACAATTCCTTCTACCTGTCTCTTAACGGTCATTAATATCTTAAACGAAAATATTTCAGAAAACGAAACCTATTATCATGCTTTGGATAAATGGCAGTGGTCTCTATACACTTGTGGTAGGACTGTTTGAAGCATTAGAATATACAGAACCAGATGGAACCAGATTTATATTCGATCCAAATTTCGTATAGACATCGCGTATTAATCGTTTTCCTAATTTTGGATCCAGTTATTATACTTGATTTGGATAAAAAATGCCGGCATTTGCCAGTTGTAAAGCAAGCTTTTCAATATCTCTACCATTAATCATTTTTACTTTCTCAAAGAGCTGCGCAATCATGAACAGTGGGATGCTTATTTTGAACGTGATGCTAATTATTCTGAAAAATTCTTAAGCTTTAAAATTCCTAAGAACCAAAAAAAGAACCAAAATTCAAAATTTGCCCGAGTTATGACTATTATAATACTAATACTTTGCTACAAACGAAGATGTATTTTGTAGATTCGACTCATATCGATTATCTATTTTTTGCCTATTAATTTATTAATTCACAAATTCATATTTTTTATTATTTTAATATTTATTTATGATCAATCTTCACCAAATTCATAATTGTTTTATTTAAGCCGTAAATCTTTACATATTTCTTTAGTAAGATTTGGTTTGCGATTTAATAAATTATTAATAAATTCAGTAATTTTTTGTCTAAATTAGAAATGTTAGCTTAGTAAAAAGCAAAAAAAATATGAAATTTTTTCGCTAATAATAGTTTTAAAATAATTTTAAATGAGCGAAATAAATTTGGAAATTTACTACTTTTAAAATATTCGATATTTTTATATTTTTCAGCGTCTATAAAGTAATATATTTTTGCAAAATATTTTTATTTCTCTCCCAAATACTTTGGTCGATTCGAAATAAATTTATAAAATATCAGTGAATTATAATGATTTGTGAAATGAATTGATTTGATCGATATTATTTTGTGGACCGATAGTGTTAGCCAAACTTGAAATGTCAATCGCAGAACGATTATATAAAGTAAAATAAAAATTTTATAAGAGAAACCGAAATTATTTCTGAAATTATCATTCGGAGAGAATTCGAAGATAAAGAAAAATATTGTTTAAGGCATTCTTTTCGTTAAAAGGTTTCATGATTGAATTTTCTTTTTTCCGATTATTTTCATTCAGATTTCTAAAATTTCTCATTTTAATATCATTTTTATATCACTTAACAACTATGCAAATTTTATTTGGATTTCCACCTATCGAATTATTTCCTCTGTTGAAGGATTAGGAAAATCTTATTAAAAGTTTTGCATATAGCATAAGAAAATCAATTGTAAATGTGAAAATTTTCAATTTTTCATTCAAAAAGAACGGTGTAGAAAAGTAATTACGAATGTGTTTGAAATCCGGTAAATGCGTCAGAAAGATTCCACCAAGTAAATGAAATCACCAGAATGTTATGGGAGGACGAATAAAACTGCAACAACTGAATTTAACAACTGGAGTTTAAGATTTTTGTCTCATTGATGGAAGTCTATGCAAGATTAAATTCAGAAAACCAGAAAAACGATTATGGCGATTCGTAGCATTTTTTATCACGAATATTCTGCCAATTCTCTTCTGGCTGACTAATTGAGTCCCTCCTTGGTACTACCCGCACGACTTAAAGGCAGCAAGATATCAATTCTCGAATGATCAACAGTGGTCAAACAGCTCTACTTTAGACGATATTATTGATAGATATTGATATTGTAAGATGTTTAATGCGCATTACACGTACACCAGTCTGACAACCGATTTCTTCGCCATTTTTTGCACTGATTGCTTTTATTTTCATGACTTGACCTTGCGCAAATCAAACTATTAATAAAATGGCTTAAGCGAAGAAGGATTTCATATTCCTTTAATTTCCATTATTTTTTATTCCACAGAAACGGAAATTCCAATTTCTCGTTATTCAATGTCGTATGCAAAATTCATAGTTTATAATGAAGTTTTTTCTATTTAAGTTTATTCTTAAGTTTATTTAAGTTTATTCTCATCTCAAATATACATATAAAGAAAAATTCACTATAGCCAATTCGAATAATCGCATTATTAATTTTTAATTATTAATTTACTTGTTAAAATATGGAAAACCATAAAAATCACTATTTTCAATTTTAAATTCATATATAAATATAGATTTATATAAATTCACTAAAATCATAGAAATCATCTTAGAGATCTCTTAAAAATTTGTATTGTAGTAGAAAATTGTCTCAGAAATATCTTAGAAAATACTTTTCTTTTTATCAGAGGAAAGAGAAACGAGGTAAGGAGATATATTTTTTCTGTATTTCGCATATCGAAGCGGATCTCTTGTTGTAGCCTTTGTTCTAACCTGAAAATTGTAATATTTCATTTTCGAAGAATGGCTTCTAATGACTGCAATTGAAAATATTCTATACTTTGAGAGGATGTCTTTTTTAATATTCAGTGCTTAATATGAAATGTTATATAAATTAATTAAATGGATTGATATTAATACTAAGAATAAGATTTTTTTGATAAATATGATAAAAAAAATGATAATAAAGGAAATTTTTATAATAAAAAATTCATACAATTGCTTCATATTTTATTTCACAAGAAGAATGCTTTCGATTTATTATTCTAACGACTTTCGCTATTAATGATAAAGTTGCTTCTCCAGATAGGAGGTTAAAGAATCATCAACAAACAATATCTTCTTTCGAAGGCCTAATGCCATATATAACTGGACTGCCTGAGAGTCCAAAATCTCTTCTGATCAACCTACGCCAATCGGGTTTCTAATTGATACTCCTCGCTTTTGCCGCAATCATACGGCGCAAAAGGTTGCTAGATCTCAATTCTTGAAGAAGCACCAATGGACACGGCCAAACGACTCAGCTTTATATTAATATTGTAGCTGGTATTTGAACAAAGATGGATGGATATATACATATATATATATATATATATATATATGGATGGACAGTCATATGAATTTTATCCATTCACATCGATTATCAGACATATGTGGTCAAAGAAAGATCACTTCCTAATATTCTCTACGTTACTCTCACTGATAATGTTCAGTACAACACGTACCAGTCAGATAGTCGATTTCGCTGCTTTGGTTATTTGGTATAAAAGTGGATATCCTGGTGATGCTGGCGACTCACCTGTATTTCTATTGCCTAAGAGCTACCTGGCATATTGCCTAATGCGAAAAGCCAGTAGAGCGAGTTTAACCAGTAATGGTGAGGACTCTTAAAAAAGAAAAAGAGTGGATATAAAAAATAATTAAAGTTTAGCAATTTCTCCACCCGTGAAGAATTGGCACTATCGATATTTTATCAGCGTTTCTGTTAAATAAGCCGAAAAGCCTCTTTTTTTTTACATTAGTCATAAACCCAAAATCTGGTGCACGTTATGTTTCATCTATTGAATTTCATCAACTTAATCACCAAAATACATATGCGATGTATTTTGGTGATTAAGTTGTGTAAATGCAATATAATTGATTAAATTGAACAAGTGGTATAATCTACAATCCAATCTAATGCTTTCTCCAATACAATACTATAGGAAAAGGAATGCAACACTGGCCAGTTTTTCGTTGTTTTGTCATTTGTCATTTTTTAAGAGCCATCACCATTACTGGTTAAACTCACTCCACTAGCTTGTCGCAATTGAGCAATATGCGAGGGCGTTCTTTTTGCGATAGAAATACAGATGAGTCGCCAACATAACCCGAATCTTTGTGCAGGTTTACTCCTATAGAGAATCGAACCTCAGCATCGGCGCTCCCAATTGAGCAACAACCCACTGAACCATTGAGCCAGTTCTTCATAGTTTAATGAAAGCTTTCAAATCATCAACAAACGATGCAATTTTACAGTTACTATTTAATTCAGCTAAATTTTAAATTTTACAATAATTTCAACATTAAAGTATGACTTGCGCTGGATTTTTTTTCGTGGATCGCATAATGCATCGTCCACCTTCTTTCGTATATTCTTCGCTGATACATTTGCATTGCTGAATGCATATTTCAGGAGAGCCATCGTTGTAAATCAATTGTTTAATAGTTTTATAGACCATATTATCGCCACACTTCAGATCTGTTAGCATGCAAAATAGGTCGCGAATCCGCTCGCAAGTTCGTCCAACGCAATTCTTAGAAGAGCGAGTCTTAGAAAACTGAAATTACATGTTTTATTAAATAACTACTGAAATTACAAATTATTACTGCCGAAATATCGAAAATATTTTGTTATATAGAAAATAAGATTTAAAGAAAACATTTTCGATAGGTTCAGCCTTATATTACTTTTTATTTATAAACGACTTAAATTCATCCAATATTACATTAGGAAAGATAAGTAAGAAAGATAAAATGGAACAAGAGATAAATATTGTACTCTCATGAGAAATAAACAACAATTGTAAATTTCTCACCTTTCGCATGGTTGGTTGAAGTTTTGATTCGGTGGCAGATCGTTGGGTTGAAGTTGGTGTCGCAGTTTCATTTCCTTTCGTAGAAAGGATGCACTGACCATTGGCTTTGACATATTCTTCACTCATACAAGTACATTTTTGGAAGCAAACTTCAGTGCCATTCTTTTTAAGCAATTTACCGATTTTAGTAAATATCATATTGGTTCCGCAAATTTTACCAGTCAGTGAACACGGAACATTGAAAATTTCTTCATCAAGTGCACACACTCTTCCCGCGCAGTGTTTAGGCAATATTTCACGACCAAACTGAAAAATTGTCAAAACCGAACCTCTTTTTTGTTCGTTTAGTACTACGTTTTTGCATTCTTTGGCTAATGACATATTTTTCATAATAATATTTTTATAATATTTATCGAATATTTATTGAATAATATTTATTGAATAATTAATTGCTAAATAATTGTGCTGAAACTCTGAATTCAGTAATAAAAAAGACCTCAGTTTCGTTTCGCATCGCAACACTACTTTTTTTAATGCATTGTCCACCCATTTTCGTGTATTCATTACTGTCGCAAATGCACTGTTGAATACAAATCTTATATGATGATATGCCAACTTTCATGTATAATGGCCCAACTATGGTCTTAAAGGCCATATTTGGTCCACATTTCTGGTCTGCCAATGAGCACAGAATATCAGTGATTATTTCGTCAAGTGCACAGATTCTTCCACTGCAAGCCTTTGATGTTGGCACTTTAGGAAGGGACTGAAAATTAATGAAATTAATTTTAAAATAAAATTAATTTTAAAATTAATGAAAAAAATCTGACTGAACCTTCCAAATAAATTTCGTCAACAAATTTTTATTTTTTCAAACGTTCAACAACGATTAATTTGGCAATATCACTAAATCTATTATTTTCGATTATGGGAACGAGGATTTCAATATATTTCAGCATTAATATTAGGCATAATTTGGATTCTTGTCTTAAGGCACGCAGCTTCTTGTCTGCGGTTCTCTACCTTTAACTTCATTTATTTCGACATCCATATTTTAAAAAAAACTAATTTCCAGAAGGGACGAGCGGAGAACGCTAGAAGTGTATGTCGAAATACATACTTCTTGCAGGGTCATTAAGTTGCTAAATTATGACAAGCAAAAACATATATTGAGCAGTGCGACATACAGTGATGATTGACCGATGAAACATATATCACTACTATAAAATGAAGTCGAAAACGTCATTCCATACCTCGTAAGAGAAGGTGAATGTAAGCCATTCTTTCGTTATTGTCCATAAAACGATTAGTAAAAAGGAGTGGAGATACTCCACTAGCATTACACTGAAGAAGAGTCATTGAAAAAGAGTTGAGGATCTTTCGAGGAATCCAATGGTTTTACTGGTATGATTAGATAAGAATTCCTTCAGAAGCTATAGCTATTGATACTGTCAAACGGTAAAAAAAGTTGTAAAGAAAGATTTATAATGAGTGAATGGAGCGTTAGAAGCATAAACTCAGTACGGACTGCTCTGTACCATATTTGGTCCACATTTCTGATCTGTTAATGAGCACATAATATCAGTGATTTTTTCGTCAAGTGTACAGGTTCTTCCGTTGCAAGCCTTTGTTGTTGGCACTTCAAAAGGAAGCTGAAAATTAACCGAAATAACTTTGGATTAAAACTTGCATACATTCACTAATAAATTTTTGTGAATATTTTTAAACCAACCAACCAACGTTAATTTAACCAACGTCAATTTTGCGACTATTGTCAAATCGCATTAAATCTATAATTTTTAAGGAATGGGTATTTTCACTTTTTCGATATTTATATTGGGCATAATTTGGATTTTTATTTTAAAACTAGCAAGCTGCCGATTTCTCCTCTCCAATTCTCAGGCTTTGCCTTCATTTCAACCTTTTATATTTAAGAAAAAATAAAACAAATTCAAGAGGGATGAACAACGAATGCTGGGAGTGTATGCGTATTTCTAGCATGGTCGCCCAGTTGATAAACTATAAGGAGCAAAAATCTATATTAAGCAGCAGCGATGTAGATGGTGAAGACAGATTTGTGGAAATGGCAAAAGCAACATATTGTGCTGGAGAAGGCAATTATAAGCTACTTTTTAAATGGATGTAGGTTCTGCGTTAGATGATAGCATTCCACTGAAGAAGAGCCACTGAAGGCGAGC